AGAGAGAGAGAGAGAGAGACAGACAGACAGACAGAGAGAGAGACAGAGAGACAGACAGACAGAGACAGACAGATAGACAGACACACAGACAGACATTCACCACATCCTTCTCTTCTTCCCCAGGCAAAAGCCCACAAACACAGCTACTATGACGAGACAGGCCTTCGACTCACGGAGACCTCTTACGGCATCCCTCTACCGCTGGACAATCTACTGGAGCAAATATCACATCACCTCTCCGGTAAATTTTATTGTGTTTTGTTTGGGTTGCTATTGGGAAATTTTGTTGGTTTTTGTTGTTGCTGTTATTGTTTTGTTGCTTGTTTGTTGTTTTGTTTTGTTTTTGTTTTGTTTTTGTTTTTGTTTGTTTTGTTTGTTTTTGTTTGTTTTGGGGGAGGGGGTGTAAAGAGGGAAGGAGGATAGAAATAAGGAGGGGTGGGCAAAGACCTCGCACATAATCCCACCAACTTCTGGATGATTAGAGAATACGTCACATCACTTTTCTGGTAAGTTCCTTTTAGAGCTTTGTTTCGTTTGTTTTCCTTTGTTTTCTTTGTCTGTTTGTTTGTTTGTTTGTTTGTTTGTCTTGATGAAATGGTCGTACAACGGGGGAGGACATAGGGAAACAACAACAACAACAAGAGCAATAACATTATCACCACCAACTACAACAACAGCATCACAACCACCACCATCATCATCTTATTTGCTGTTATTACCATCAGTACCACAACCATCATCTTCACTATGACCTTCTTCAACTTCATCAAAAACAACAGAAAAAATAACGACAGCAATAACAACAACGTCACCATCATCATTATCTTCATCAGCAGATTCCCTGTCATCACTACCATCAACAAACACATGGACAACAACAACAACAACAACAACAACAACAACATCAAGAAAAACCAAGAACATCAACAATTACAATAATATCATCACCACTACCACCATCACCACCACCACAAACAAAAACAGCAACAACAAAACAACAACAGAAACAACAAAAAGCAACATCACTATCATCACCTCAAACACCACGCACCACCACCACTACTGCCACCACCACCTACAGTAACAACAACAAAAGCAACAACAACAACCACAACAATAGCAATAACAATAACGAGACAAAGGTATCAACGCCATCAACATCACCATCATTATCTTATTCACCATCACCAACAACAACAACAACACCGCCATCAATAGTATCATCATAATCTTCCAAACCATGACAATAATCACCACCACCACCACCACAACCATCAACATCACCATCACCATCCCTACCACCATAAATTACCATCACAATCCCCAAAACTCTCACCAGCATCATCACCACTACAACCATCAGAATCACCACCTAAAATAACAACATCATCATCATCACTATCTTCACCACCACCATCATCATCATCATCTCCCTCTCCACCACAACCATCATTATCTTACTCACCGTCATCATCTCCCTCACCACTTCCAACATCACTATCTTACTTATCATCATCATCTTCCTCACCACAACTACCATAAGCATCGTAGTCACCATCATCATCTCCCTCACACCACCACCATCACTATATTACTCACCATCATCATCTTCCTCACCACAACTACCATAAGCATAGTAGTCACCATCATCATCTCCCTCACCACCACCATCACTACCTTACTGATCATCATCCTCACCCTCATTATTTTACTCATCAAAAACATCCCCGTCACCACCACCGCCCTCATTATCTTCTTAACCATTACCATCACCATCACCATCACCATCACCATCATTATCATCATCTTACTCACCATCACCATCACCGTCATCACCACCATCATAATCTTACTCACCATCACCATCATCACCCTCACCATTACCATCACCATCATCACCACCATCATCATAACCAACATCCCTCCCCACCACCACCACCACCACCATCATCATCATCATCATCATCATCATCATCATCATCATCATCATCATCATCATCATCATCATCACCGTCATTATCTGACTCATCATCACTATCTTACTCACCATCACCATCATCATCATCATCATCATCCTCATCATCATCATCATCATCATCATCATCATCATCATCATCATCATCATCATCATCATCACCGTCATTATCTTACTCATCATCACTATCTTACTCATCATCATCATCATCATCATCATCATCATAATCATCATCATCATCATCATCACCATCATGATCATCACCCTCATCATCATCATCAGCATTATCATCATCCTCATCACCCTCATCATCATCATCATCATCACTATGATCCCTCCCCTCCTCAGACGACCAGAACCAGAACGGAGAGTCAGACTGTGTGCCCGGCAGTAACCTCTCAGAACTAGACATGTGTCTCACCCCGGCCCAGCATTCCATGTTTGGTTCTCTTAGGTCAGTCTGGGCCACACACACACACAC